CTCCCGACTGGCTCCAGCAGATGAATTACCCGACGTTACTGCTGTGCGTACCCTGTAGTGGTGATAGTAGCCCAGTGACAGCTTTACCAGAGGGCTTTCAGCAACTGGCTTTTTACTGAGCTTTTATTGAGCATTATTTATATTAACTGAGCAGCTCCTCCTATTAGAGCTAATGAAGGTAAGGCTGTAAAGTCTAGTTTCATTTGTGGGATGCAGAAACGATTAGAAATGTATTAGAGTATCTTCCCTCTGCTGTTGCAGATTGGAAGGCTTTAGTTTGTACTGCAGGCATGCATTCCTCAGTTGAACAGCAGCAAATAAGTTTTATCTGGGATGACTGTGTCTAGAGCCCTGCCAGAGATGACCCTTCTGTTCTTACTGCCCCGCTGTAAGAGGGTCCTGATGCAGTCCAAGTGATGCCAAAATATGTTCGAGCTGAGGGTGAGGTGTGTGTGCCTGCCCTCCACAAACCGAGCCGCTTCTTTCTGCATGGATCCAGGACTGAGATGTGTGCCGCTCAGAAAGGAGACGATACATTTGTGAGCGTGTTAGTGGCCTGTCTCAGAAAATAAAAGAATGCAGGAAAATGGTTGGCTCTTCACCACTAGAAAGAGGCTCTTAAAAGGTGCCTGTTCTTGGTGAGGTCGGGTCAGCACCTGGAGCTGGGCATAATTTTTGTTTGCACCCAGAACTGTGTGCCTCAATCTGTAGGGCTGGAGAGGCCAGGAGAGAGAAGCAGATGTTTTCCTTAGAGAGAGTGAATTTTTAACCACCCCTCCCATTCCTTCCAAAATAGAGTTTTCACTAACAACATGTAACAAACAATTATCCTAGGGTTTGCCACATACTTCTCTTTTCCCAGCTCTGGGTGCCCCAGTCTGAGCTCACTGGGAATCAACCAGCGGTGGTTCCAGCAAAGGAAGAACAGCGTTTGAATGGGAAATGCTTGTTTTACTAATGTGCTCTGAAACTGATAGGAGCTTGTACAGTTTTTTTTGTCTTAGGAATCCAAGTTTTTAGGTGGAGAATTTGGTGTTATTTAAGTCCCAGTTCTTCTTTGCATTTAAGACCTCTGCCAGCAGTGACAGTATTACCTGTAGCTTATGCCCTTCATTGAATAGAATATCTTCCCTAGTAGAGATCTAAAGTCAAATACCTGGATGTTCCTTTAATTCTTTTTTCTTCCCCCCCCCCTTTTTTTAATTTTTAATCTCTCTATTCTTTGCATTTAAGACCTCTGCCAGCAGTGACAGTATTACCTGTAGCTTATGCCCTTTATTGAATAGAATATCTTCCCTAGTAGAGATCTAAAGTCAAATACCTGGATGTTCCTTTAATTCTTTTTTCCTTTTTTTTTTTCCCCCCCCTTTTTTAATCTCTCTACTGAATTAGGAGATTTCCTCTGGAAGATATCCCTCAAGATGAAAAGGAAGCTGCAAACTGGCTTCATAAGCTTTACCAGGAAAAGGTAAACAGCTTTGCTTTCTTTTCTCTCTGTTGGGATTTTCACAGGGGTAGTGTATTAAGGCACTGAGTAACGACACTCTTCCACTGGATGGAGAGAAGAGATGGAAATACTATGTATAATTAGGCAGCCATCCCTCAAACTGCTGGAAGGAGCAGTATAGAAGGAACCCCTTGGCTGCAGCAGGCTGGCTAGTGAGTAGGTCTCAAATTGTCGGGAAGCACAGTGGGATTCAGAGAGATGCCTGAGATGCGGAAGACTAATAGCAATCCACCCTCTTTATCTATTCTTCAGCTCTTGGGTCTCTGTCATACATTTCTAAAAGCTCCATTTTCCCTGTGAGTGTTTTTAGGCACTCAAGAAGAGTGATCACTGTCTGTCAGGGACAGCCGATCCCGGCTTCTAGCTGCAATTGTCCTTTGCTTTCATATTTCTTCCACTGTCACTTTCCTTCTGCCTCCTGGTAATACCTCGGTAGTGGTGCGTGACGTGGTACAGACACTCCCTGGGACCTCCTGCCAGGGACTGATGTAGCACGTGGCCAGCATGACTTGAAACGGCTCAAAGGTTTTCCTCATGTCTTTCCTGGTTTTTACCTTAGATGGTTAATTTCTTGACCGCAGATTTTACAGTTCTGTGGGGAGAAGGAGAGAACTGTAATTAATGCTGCCCAGCCCTAATTGGTGGATTGTTGAACTTGAAATGTGTATCTTGATTTTTGTGTTGCTTACTTTGTGGGAAAACAGAGGAGTACAGAAAGCTTAATTATCTTGGGCTTTCTTCTGCTATGATGACCTCTGCTGCAGCATTTCCAAGCTTACGCTTAGTCTGTATGTAGGCAGTGATCGTTTGGAATTTCATTTCATTCATTTTAACCTAATTTGTTTGAATACCTAAGCTGTAATTCAGTTAAGGGAAGAGCATTTATCTTACAAAGAGCAGTAGCTATCATTGTCTCTTCACCGCACCTCCCATTAGCAGGTGTATCAAACCAGCTTGTGGGTCAGTTAGTGTAATATGGGATTAGAGAGTTTAAAAATAAATTAATTTGGGATCCTGGAATCCCACCTCCTGCTATCAGGGACACGCCATCCTGTAATTCCCTTGTGAAAGGCTCTTAGATGCAAGAATTCCTTTTGACATTGCCTGGCTGGAGGAGCAGACATTAAGGTGTATGTTCCCGGGCTGGTCTTTGCTTGGCTCCTGGCTTTGTTCAGCAGTAAGTGCAGAGCTAAGCAGATGCAGCAGAGAGCATTCACTCCGCTTGGTGCCGTTCCTCGGGCAGAATGCTCAGCTTTGCTTGCAGATGGAGGGCTTGGTGTTCCTTGCTGGTGTTGGCTGTACTTCCCTTCACCTTTGGTGTGAGGTGTTGCCAGGGAGGTAATACTCCTATATGTGGGTATTGATCTTGTGGTGGTAGCAATGTGTTGTAACTGGAGTCCTGAAAGTGCTCTTCACACACAGAAGATGTGTCCTCAAAAGGCGGTGTTATGGGCAAGGAACGCCTGGTGCTTCTCAGCCCTTTGTAAGGGAAGCGAAAAGAAAAACAGCTGAAGTGGGAAAAACAAGACATGGCCAAACTTCAGCTGTCCTTGGTAATGGCTTGGAAACCTTACGGAACATTCTTACAAACTGAGGGAAGGCTGTGGGCATGCTGCTCCCGAGGGTGATGTGCTTCGTGATTGCATCTCTTTGCAGGCTCAACTCAGGGTGCAACGGCTCTGTTGAAGTCTTGGGGTTATGGCTGGCACGGCGCTGTCTCTGCTGGGTAGCTTGTGCTTCGCCTTCCTCTTCTGGCTGTGTGTACGGCATTTTTGTGCTGTGCTTTGCTAAATCATGCCGACCTTTCTGGAAGTAAAAAGGGGAAGAAAAAGCATGCAGCAAAGAGGCAGGTAGCATCTGAATTGGCCTCTGGCCTGATGCTGCCCTAAATTCCTAAGAAGTAAAGAGAAGAGATGAAGGCATTTGGTAGTGGAGAGGCTGATATGGTTTCAGGTTCTGAAGGAATCTTGAAGGAATGCCCAAATAACTGACAGCAGATGGAAATGGATGCTGTGTACTCTTAATGGGTATTTACCACAGATCTTGTCCTTGATGTTGTCCTGGAGTTGACTAGTCTTGGATTGCTTGGTGCAAACATTATGAACCGGTTTTCTTCTGTCTTCTCTTTCTCCCAGGATGCTTTGCAAGAGATGTACAATCAGGAAGGCATCTTTCCTGGCCAGCAGTTTAAACCTCCTAGGAGACCATGGACTCTCCTAAACTTTCTTTTTTGGGCCACAGTTCTCCTCTCTCCTCTCTTCACATTTGGCTTTGGAGTTTTTGCAAGTGGATCACCTCTCCTTATCCTTGCATTCCTGGGACTTGTTGGAGCAGGTAATAAAAGCAGAGAAGATGCTAAGCCCAGAGTGACATGTAACAGGATCCTTTACCTCCGAGAAGTTCTGTGTATTAATTAATATGAACAGGACTTGCAGAAGAGTACTTGGAGCTCACTCTGTAGTCTTTATATTGTATAGTACTTTTATTATTTCAAAAGCTTTAATCCAGGCAGGCTTGCCTTCTTATCTGAGGCAGTATGTATAGCAACCAGTAGCAAGTGAGTCTTGTAGCCCGTTATCATGGTGCCAGAAGGAGAAAATACTTCTACTGCACACCTTCTCTGTCACTTAAAAAAACACACACACAACACCACCACCCCACCCTGCCCCACGCCAACAAAAAAAAAAGGGGGGGGGAGCCCAGCGGGGGGGGA